GAGTTCCACTTTTGTGGAAATACGGCTAAAACCAGCGGCTGAAACCGTCGTAAAAAATTACATTAGGATGGCCGCTCTCAGGTTTCTCTCTGCTCCTATATTGCTAGTACGGTGCCGATTTGAGGTTCAATGTTACGGTGCAGACAATATAGTAGCCTCTCTCTTTAGCTGCTTTGTGCGCATGCGGTGAACATTCAAGCACGCTTGCGCATTTCTCTTTCTCGCGTTCTTTCTTTCACTTTCCAATGCTTTGTTTCGCTCGCACTCACTTGGTAGAGCCATAATGACGCCCGCGCATAATGGGTGTGTTTAGCCGAAGTTAGCGCTACGTAGCGCTAACTTCGGCTAAACACACCCAATGACGCTCGACCATCTATGCCCATATTTAGACTTCGTGCGTCTCTCTTTCTCGGGCCTCGTGTCTCTCATTGCGAAGATACGCGACTAGCAATATAGAAGTATTACATTTATGGCACCGTACTAGCAATATAGAAGTATTACATATATGGCTCGATCTTGCAACTCTTGCTACCTGGCCAGAGTTTGCAACACTGGTCTAGTTTCCACCGAAACATTAATTCACACCTACTGCGGCGTAGAATCAAATTTAAGTCGATGGAAACACGTCGAATTGCACTCAATTCACTTTTGCTTCGATCTACAAGTTTTATCGGAGTGGCAGCGAATTGACATATAATTTTAGTCGGTGGAAACGTTTGAAACTAAATAATGCCAACCTCTATTTTTCATTATGTCTGCATTATGTCGGGTCTTGTTAAGAAGTCGATGCAAGTTGAAAATAAAAAGATAAAATATATGATTGAATCATTTTTGCAGAGTCAATTAGAAGTTTCTCGGATTATTTCTTTTCAGGTTATGTCTGTTTATATTTACACAAACGAGTTTTAAGTTGGCTTTACTGAAATATTAATTTTTCTTACTTCTATTCTACTTCCAATGGAAACGAAACACTAAATTTGATCTGTACCGGAGTGGAACNGAATTGAGGGTTTCGGTGGAAACTAGACCACTGAAGACTCAGGGCGATGTCCCATTGAGCGGAAATTTATAACGGAACAGAATGTGCGGAACCAGCTCGACCAATCGTAACTATAGAAAAAGCGAAGGAAAGAAAACGGAATGGCTATGATTGGTCGAGCTGGTTCCGCACATTCCGTTCCGCTATATATTTCCGCTCAATGGGACATCGCCCTCAGGGAGAAGTCAGATGGTGCGAATCGTGCGTAATGCGGAACTGTCGGAACGTTCGTGATTGGTCGTGACTTGATTCCGTCGATTCTGTACTTTTCGTTCCGTAAAACCATATTTTCATGCGGAACCGACTGAATCATAACCTAATTGCAAATATAAATGTACACTTTTACAATTTTCCTGCGTAATTTTTGCTGATAAAATGCATTTTTAGTTTGCTTTAATTTTTTAAACAGCCCGCATATAANAACACACAATGTTCTCGAGTACATTGTTGTCATCAATGGGTGTGTTTAGCCGAAGTTAGCGCTACGTTGCGCTACGTAGCGGCTTCATGTAGCAGTTGCAACTGCTGCGTTACTTCTGCTGGACATTATTGCTACGCGCAGCATGTTCTAAGTAGTGGCCGCCACTTTTGTAAGCGCAAATATGTTTGTATACAAATCGCCGTTATATTCTTCGGTTGCTAAACTTTGTTTTTTAATTATTTATAAAAATGGCAAAAAAAGTGTCAAAGTATTACAAAAATTGCGGCCACTACTTAGAACATGCTGCGCGTAGCAATACTGTCCAGCAGAAGTAACGCAGCAATTGCAACTGCTACATGAAGCCGCTACGTAGCGCTAACTTCGGCTAAACACACCCAATGACAGATGTGACAGACGTGCTGTTTTAGTATCCGCAAAAGTTTCTTTTCTAATGTCCCATTGACCGGAATTTGCAGATGCGTAATCAGCGCTAGCCACTAGCAATCACTATTCCGATAGATCCATCGTAAATAATCTATGAAAAGGCTCTTACGATTGGTCAGCATTTTATTGCGCAATAACCAATTCCGTTCAATGGGACATAAGGAAATACAGTTTTAGGCCTGGTTTATGCGGGCCAAAGATTTTAATATTTCTGTTTATTAACAGAAGCATAACAGAATATAAAAGAAGCATTGAAATCCTATAGTTAAACTGTACCAATTTCGGCATAAATTAACAGTTATTACCCGCATAAACAAGGCCAGAACACGGCCTTATTTGCCCGCATAAACCAGGACTTAAGCCTATGTCACACTACGGATTGGGATTGAGATTGGATTGAAATTTGACCAATCAGAAGAAAGAAAATCAATCCTAAGTTTACTGATCTTCGCTCTGATTGACCAAATTGCAATTTAATTTCAATCCAAATCCGTAGTGTGACATAGGCTTTACAGAACGGAGTTTGCGGAATGTCTATGATTGGCCGGAATTCATTCCGTAAATTCTGCATTAACACACGTTAACGCACGTTCCGCACTGTCTGACTTCTCCCTCAGGCTTCTCTGTTTTAAGCGTTCAGTTCAGCTGAGTTCAGCTGAGCTTGACATTGTCTTACATTTGTTGACATTCACTTTTGGCACGTACGTTTAACATAGCAATCACAAAAATAGTAAAAATTTATCAATAAAACAATGGGTATTGTCCATGCTAAGGTACGTAATGGTATATTATTAAGAGAGTTATGGCATAACCTAATAACCCGTGCAATTTTTAGAATGAATAATTTCTAATAATATTTACTAATAATAGTTAATTTTAATTTGTATCTCCAATTTGGTTTTATGAAATTAAGTAGTAACACTGGAACTAAACATTTTTATCTTGCATGTTATATTAAGTATATTAAGAAAAAGATATTTCTGAATTTATCTAAATAAGCAATAATATTTTTGTAGGAACCTAATAAATCTTCAGGCTTGGGTCTGTCATCTAATAAGGATGCTTCTACAAATAAACACAGTGAATTACCATTGAATGCAACAAGTGACCTTGTATGTTTGGAATTTTAAAAATTTATTTATTGACCTCTTTAATATAAATTTTAGAAACATTAGTTTCTTTGTTGAATCATTAAATTCTTTAAAAAATTTATAAATACCTGTTTAATTTTTTTACAGCCAACTTTTAACAATAAGTCTCAGTTGTATGAAAAAGAACCAAAGATACAAACAAAAATTTTGGATTTACAAGCAGTAAAAGTATGTTGATAACATTGTGTATATAGATGATATATATAGTATATACAATATCTTGAAAAAGAAGATAAAAATATAAGAGAAAACAAAAACCTTTAACACATTGACACAAATAATAGTTAAGTACAATACTTGTATTGTACTTATTTGTTGTTTGTGTTAATGTTAAAAATATATTTTAATATATTATTTTACAATTTTGTTAGGCACGAGTTGATAAAATACATGTGGATGGTCTTAAGCGAACAAGAGATGATATAATCGAGTCTCAAGTAACTGATTTATTTAAAGCAAAAACCTTTGAGGATGTTATTATACACTCTCATAAAGTACGAGAGAGATTAGATGCTTTGGGATGCTTCAGACATATCGGAATTTACATAGACACTAGTCAAGGTCCTGACGCTACTCCTGATGGTGTCGAAGTGGGTCTATATAATTACACATTAATTCGACACAGAATAAGTAATTTTTCTGACTTAAACTGACGTATCACAATTTGTTTTTATTGGATATCAAACACGTGATATAACTATTCGTAATATTTATTTGTTTTTATTTGTTTTAGATTACATTTACAGTACATGAAATGAGACGTTTGGCTGGTGGTATTAGTACAATGATCGGCAACAATGAAGGATCCTTAATTATCGGTGCAAGAGCGCCGAATTTGTTTGGACGAGCAGAACGCATTCAAATGGAATATTCTCATGGTAACAAAAATTCGATCAACTTCAATGTATCCGCCATTAAACCATTTCCACTGAGCTTATATAACGCAGTGTGAGTCGGGATATTAGTACTTGTATACTTTCATTTACTTGTATACTTTTTATATGTACGCACTTGCATTAATTGGATTAACGCTTTACAGATTAACTGGCACTATATTTAGTACAACACACGATTATCCGTGGTCTGGCTTTAAACAGAATGATAAAGGACTACTTTTTGATATGGAACTCAATCCAACAAGCACTTCTAAGCACAATGTACAATATGAAGCTGCATTAAGAACCATAACTTGCTCGAAACAGGCAGCCTTTCGTGTTCGAGAGCAATGCGGACCAAATTTTAAATCGGCAATTAGATACATTTGGACGAGAGATAAAAGAGATTCTGTTATTTTTCCTGTTACTGGAAGCTTGATGCGATTAACAACAGAGATGGCCGGATTAGGTGGTGATATAGGTTTCTTAAAGAACGAACTTATCATACAGAGCAATTGGTCGCCGCATGAATATCTTGTAAGTTTTTACTTCTACCATGTTATTATTTTGTGTTTGTAAATTTTTATTGTAAAACTCTTAGTAAAGAGCAATTTATTCATCAAAACTATTTTTCTTCTTTTTCACTAGACATTCCAATTGGGTCTTCAATCTGGACTGTTGAATGCAATCAGCAACGACATGAAAATAAGTATTGCCGATAACTTCTTTCTAGGTGGTCCATTAAATCTTCGTGGATTTGACATGAGAGGATGCGGACCGCGTCACGACGGAAATTCTGTGGGTGGCGAAATGTACTGGGCAGCCGCTCTTCATGTATATACACCACTGCCGTTTAGACCTGGCCATAATGGTTTTGGGGATTTATTTAGACTACACGGTTTTATCAATGGTGGTAACTTGTCCAATTTCACATTTGCATATGGTAAGTGGAGTGATATCCAATATAATTTTATATATATTGAATGTTTTTATTTTATTGTTACCAGGAATTGTAACGTGTACAATTTTCAGATGATTTTTACAAAGAAAACATGAAGATCTTTACAGAGAACGTTCGTTGTGCCATTGGAGCTGGTCTCGCAATGAAGTTGGGAAATGTCGCCCGCATAGAACTAAATTTAATTACTCCACTATTGTTTATGAGAAATGATGTGCTCCAACAATTTCAATTTGGTATTGGCGTGCAATACCTTTGAGCTTTTCTTATATTTTGATAGTTTACAGGTTTTTTAACTTACTGTGCGAAATTATTCTTTAATTTGGAATGTAGAAAACTGAACGTAGAAAAATGTATGTAAATTTACTTCTATTTGGTTTGCAAACTACTGTGAAAATTCAAAGTAAAACTATTCTCAATTAATAGATAATGTTACTCATTGTCTTTGTTGGTCTTATGCAGGGTTGGGCACGTATTATACGTGAGGTATTTTACATTGTATTATACTTGGTATTGTACAAGTATAATACATCGCTTAGTTTTATACTTAGACCATATATACTTATAGACAACTATTTTGAAGCAAAGATAATATCATCTACATGACGTCACATGTGGGCAAAGCAAAGGCGCGTTTATAGACGGCTTCAGATAATTGCCTTGAAGATAAGATAATGTTAAGTGAGGTTTATCTGCTTCACATATATAGACACATGTGCACTCAGTATGTTAAGTGCACACAGTGCAGTTAGTATTCCTGTTTAGAGTAAGCTCCTGAAAAAGAAAGAGTGATAGAGGAAAAATGAGAGATGAAATACATTATCTAAAGTTATTCTCTGGTAACTTGTTACCATGCAACATTTTGTTTATTTATAAAAAGAAATGCGTTAAAAATAATAGAACATCTCTCAGATTTCTGTCTTCATTGTTCCGTTCCGACCTTAGACCATATATACTTATAGACACGGCCTGTAGATATGAATCCACGAGTCGAGGTGAAGCAAAGATAATATCATCTACGTGACGTCACATGTGGGCATTTCAGCAATGGCTAAACGCGGCCTCGTAGATGATATTATCTTATCTTCAAGGCAGTTATCTGAAGCCGTCTATAAACGCGCCTTTGCTTTGCTCACATGTGACGTCATGTAGATGATATTATCTTTGCTTCAAGATAGTTGAAGCCGTGTCTATAAGTATATATGGTCTAAGGTTGAAACCGTCGTAAGAAACTACAATGGCATGGCCGCTCTCAGGTTTCTCTCTGATGAAACATTGGGTGCGTTCAGACAACTCAACAGTTGCACAACGGTTGAGAGATAATCACTTCTGATTGGATCATACTTTTGGAACCAATGCAGATTTTGAAGAATAGTTCTATCATAAGTAATGATCTCAATTGTTGAGTTGTCTAAACGCACCCATTCATGCATTTCATGCGAGAAACGGAACGCACCCTAAAGCCTATGTCACACTACGGATTAGGATTGAGATTGGATTGCAATTTGGCCAATCAGAGAGAAGATCACTAAACTTAGGATTGGTTTTCTTTTTTCTAATTGGTCAAATTTCAATCTAATCTCAATCCCAATCCGTAGTGTGACATAGGCTTAAGACCACTTTTGTATCACGGAGTTCGATCTTCTTAGGGCCTCCGCACAAACTCTTTCTTAACGCGTTACGTTACGTTAAGTTGGCTATGAACTTAGATTTGTACGTAAACTTGAACGTTATTCAACGCACAAACTAATATTTAACGTAACGTAACGTTAATTACTAGTCATAAACTTAAATTTGTATGTAAACTTGAACTTTATTCAACGCACAAACTAGTACTTAACGTAACGTAACGCGTTAAAGGCCATCACACATAAAATTACTTAAGACCGTAAGACGTAGCCGTAAGAAAATTGACCAATCAGAATGTATACTATGTCGCCATCACTTTTGAACGTAAATTTCTGATTGGTTAATTTCCTTACGGTTATGTCTTACGGTCTTAAGTAATTTTATGTGTGATGGCCTTAAGAAAGAGTTTGTGCGGAGGCCCTTAGGGCCATCACACATAAAATTACTTAAAGAGCCGTCTACAATGGAGAGTTGTAGGCCGTAATAGTAAGAAATTGACCAATCACAGGCTAAGTACAGAAGAATAATCGATTGTGATTGGTCAATTTCTTACGACTTACAGTTTACGACTGTATTGTAGAACAGGCCTTAAGCCATATATGCACCAAACCAAACCTAACCCTAACTTAACCTAACCTAACCTACTCTGTATTCTGTACTCGGGTTTGTAAAGTGTTTTGTTACAAATTGTAAGTCATTATAGAAAAAATCCTGTAACGTATATTTTTACTTCAATAAAAATAAAAGCAACACTTTTCTGCCGGATTTTTTCATTTTGAACAAAAACGCGTCAAATAAGTTTAAATTCATCAATTTTGAAGATGGTAGGGTAACACTGGATAATTATTATAAAAAGAAATGTATACACATTCATAATAAATAAATTTTAAGTTTATTTTATCATAGATGTTTTCACCTTGGAGTTTGTTGACTTTGGAAGCCCCTCCTCACAATACTTGGTCAATTTCTCCAAAATCTGCTAAGGAAAATGGTATAATTCTAATATCTATTGTATAACTTTTGTATTATAACACCATTTTGTGTAGAATTTTTGGCTTTTGTTTTTATAAGATACATTTATGTACAATTAAAAGAATGATAAATCTGAAATTATATATGTATTTTCTTAAGACTTAAATAAAATTTGTCTTTTATTTTAGGTGTAAATATAAAGCTTTTTCAGTCAGTAGTCAATAGAGTAATCAATGCTCTGTCAACAATGGATGTTTTTCATCAGGAAGCTACAGTTTTAGCTCGTGTAATATACCGTATGAAAAGCAAGTTTCGAAATGACAAAGGTTTGAAGAAAATGGTTCAATTAAATCAGGCCTTGCTCAACTATTATAATATGGATTTACTAAAAGAATACAATATTTTGAAATCTATTATTCGAATAGAAGATGGAAAATATATTTTGCCAAGTAAACAAATGATAGAATATGTGCTTGTAAGAACACAAGGTTATGTACAACTTATGGCCAGAATAGAAGAGGTTGCTAGATGTGCTGGTCATTATTTAAAAGAAAGAATAAAGTTGGGTCATGCATGGTCAATTTCTTTATTTGCTTTTGCAGTTGTTAGTAGGCTTTGGTATGTATATATGTTTTTATGAAAACTTTGATTTAGAAATTATGTGTTTCTTAGTAATAACATATTTTTCTCTGTATAATAGTATTCATTTTCTTTATAGGATTTTTTCACGATTCATGATAGTAGAATGTTGCGAGTGGTATACAAAACTATATCAATGTTCTCAAAACTTGAAATATATTGGTATGAACTGGCTTCCGCAAAACCAGAAATTATTGCACAATTTAACATCATGGCTTAATTTAGATAATACAATATGGTACATTTGCGACTATTTAATTTAATTAATCTAACTTTAAGTGTTATTAAAAAAATTCTGAAATTGTTACATAAAATAATTTATGCTGCTGTAGCTTCTCTCATGATTTAATCAGTGCGGTAAAAATAATGAAACCAATTAGGACAGAAATGTTTTATAATACGAATGAACTTGATGACAAACATTTTACAAAGAAAGGCACTTTAGAAACTGTCTGGAAAACTAACATCTCGAAATTGTTAGAGGAAAATGATTTAGAAAATTGTAAGAAGAGATCAGTATTAACAACTAAAATATATGATGATATAAATGATATCGGAGGTATGCATTAATTGATGGAAGTGATTTTTTATTATACAAATTACTTAACTTTTGATTTTGCAGAAGTAATAGATCGAAATACTCTTGAAGAAAGTTTTCCAAGCATGTCAAGTCATATTGAAACGTCCTTGAAGAAGAAACGTAAACGTGCACATAACTGTACATAATGGCAATGATTTCAATCAACAAAAAACTAAGTAAACGTCAGAATTGGTACCAAAAGACAAAGAATTAAAATCAGTTAACTTACCTTCAGAATATTTTGCTTGACATATGTATTTACATTATAATATTATATGTTCTATATCTTAATAGAAAATAAATTCAAGCATAAATAAATGTAATTTATATCATTTATAAATATAAGCAATTTTATATTTTCAATATCTTATTGTATGTACGCGTGAGAATGAATAGTCAGTATATCATGTTGCTCAACAAAATCGAGAAATTGAGATATACAAAGAAATTATCTAAATTTCTAGTGCTTAAAAAATACGTTTAATCACTTAAAAATGTCAACCGCGTTGAAATGAGAGAAGAATCAAATAAAGATCCAAACCAAAAAAACGATATGCAACTTTTAGGTAGAAGTAAGTAGCGCTTTTTTCGTCAAAGGTTTTGTTTCACATTTATACGTAAGAGATACACGGCTTAGGGAAGTGTCTTACAGAAGCCTCGATAGACCAAGAATATCTGTCTGAAAAATCGAGGGATTCTTATTACGCGATATAGAGGAAAAAGTTTAAGCGTCGTAGGCCGGATATAAATTGAACGTATATCTCTGTGGTCTCATCCAGGATTTCAGACCAAACATATCGAAATTCCTCTTCCGCATATTGTTGAAACAACAGGCGCGAAATTGTCGAGTGCCGCAGATGTCAGCGCACTCACGTCCGCACTGATCGCAAGAAATGGTCTCGCCAATAGTCCACAGCGCGCATACTACAAAGATAAGACGAAAATAATTTATACTGAAATTCAGAAAAAATAAAAAGCGAAAAAGCAATCTAAAAGTTGTAAAGAACGAGAAGAGCGCAGAAAGAAATTTAAATATAACTACACAAGTATGCTACAATGTGATGCATTTATGGATGTGATAGAAAGTCGTCGATGTTCAGTAATGAATGTCAATCAAGTAATTACACAAGTTTATATCTCGCCAATATTACGTAGTCAATGCATATCTTTACAAAACTTTCTTCAACTTTCTTGGAATTTTTATTCTCGTTACATTATCAGTTGATAATTTTCATCGATGATATATTTTTTTAAATTTAACATCTCCGTAAAGTGAAAAAGAAAACGTCAGCATTAATTCATTAAATATCATAATTATAATTTAAAAATAATTCGTCTTGTTCTCCGATTTAATTAAGTTAGTAAAAATATGTAAAATGTCTCAGATAGATACATAATAATTAAATTTTTTATTTTGATACAGTATATTTTACATATCTCATTCTAATCTTTGTGCAAATTATCAAGAAAATATAAGCTTCGTGCAAAACAGTATCCTTTCTGTAGGCGGATAAATTCGATATCTGATTTATATGTACAATTTTTTATATGTGATCATATATATGAGATTAAGATGCTCAGTATATTATATTCACTTGTATTGATGCATGTGTGTTAAACAAATTTATTATATAATTTTTTTATTACATGTAAAATATAAATATTGTATGTAAAATATAAATATGTAGAAGAGTATTAGAAAGGTATTTTTAGCATTAACTGTATAGACCATTGTTTTGAACGAAGAGATCAACATGAAATCCGTCTTGCTAGTAGATGGGTGAACGGATTATCCGCAAACACGAGGCTATTAAACATCGATTACCAACCTTATTAAGTATCCCTTTGAAATGTGATTTGTGATCACCATACTTTATTGTAACAAAAGTACTGTGCGCTACATTATACGATATATCATATATTAAAACCTAATAATATATTTGTAGAAATATGCAAGAGTAAACCACGCACAAATAATGCAAGAAATGTAGGGGAAGAGTGGCATGAAAGAGCCAGTTTTAGTATGAAGCCAAAAAAACTATTTAAAAAGCAATCAAATATAACGCTTATTATTTCAATTTGTAGTTTACTTATTTCTTTGTGTTATGTAATAAACAAAAAGACAAAATCTAACAAGCTTAATAAACATAGTCTGTTACAAAATACAAGACAAACATGACTCATTTATTTTCTGTAATTGTATTTTGAATTTTGTAATGTTGAGTTATAATGACAACTCTATAATTAAAGATTGATAAGGACTTAAAAAATAAAGTCGAAACGTCTCAATTACATTTTTTAATTTTTCTACGGCACAACATCCTGCCATGGCTCATTATTGCCCTGCTATTTAATTCTATTTATTGGAGTTACCAAGAGGAGCCGGAGGTCACACCTCATTTATCACTTACTTAATAAACATATTTTCACTTAAAAGGAAAGTAAAATTCGGTTTTTTCATAACATAATGGTATTGAAAGAGCCAACGAATGTAATGAAAGAGCCGACTCCTTATAACAAGAATCTTTAACTGTTTATAAACAAAATAAACAAACTATTAATAGACATTAATACAATTGTTAACAAAACATTAATATAATTGTTAACAAAAAATTGTTAACCAAAATGCTAAAACTAGTTTCATAACAATCTCTTCAAAATTAACAAAATCATCAATGTAAATTTATATATTTTTTACTTAAATCTAAGTAACTCTTACTTTATTAATCAAACTTTCAAACCAACTTTTAAAATTACAATTGAGAAAAAAACTTAAACTCTTAGGTATCTTTAGAAGCAATTTTGACAAAAATAATTTAGCACTCCTTTTATCCCACATTTTTTCTGTATGTCCAATCAGAATAAAGTTTACACTTAAACTATATTTGCTTACTCTTTTTATAACGTTTAGTGCACACTATACAATTATTATTATTATTTTCTTTTTCTAGTCTCCTTTTTCTTTTTTATTTTTGATAATATTTTGTAAGAATCTGAAGACAAATCATCGTTACATTCACTGTCAGAGCTAGATGTTTTATTAAAAAGATTTTTTGATTGTTTGGTAGCCGGCTCTCTTTTATCACACTATAGTCCGACTCTTTCAAAACTTTTCCTCTTAAAAATTATAATCTCAAAATACACTATCAAATTAACGTTATGAATGAGAAATATTTACATACTTAGGAGACTAAATACACATATAAAATCGTGATATAATAATTTTTGTATTATTTCTTTACACAAAAATATTAAAAAACAATAAATTAAAACCCAAAAATTTACTTTTCAATAACAAAATCTTTAATACGATGCACCAGCGCTATTTATTTTTAATAATCTGTCAAATGTTTGTGGATGACACACGTCTAGTGTTGCTATATAAAAATTAAAACTTCCGTGAGATTCGTTCAGAAACTGCCGAATAATTGAAAATGGCTCTTTCAAAACTTAGCTTTTTCATGCCACTTTTCCCCTACACATTTTTGGTTTTCTTTTACAATATTTTATAAAATTAAATTATATATAAGGTTTTTAATTATGTATGCATGTATATAATTATATATATATGTTTAATTATACATATATATTTAACTGTATGTATACTGTATACAATTGTATTTATGTGTGTGTGTGTATATATATGTATATATATATATATATATATATATATATATATGTATTATATGTTTATATTTTTTAACAATAATATATTTGAAAGAAAGAGAGAGAGAGTAACTTTAAAAAAAATCAAATTTACGTGACGTTTAAAAAACTAATACATTTTCAACATAGTATTTAAAATAAAATGTACATGTGTGCGTGTCAAACTATAAATAAAAATCATATTGATATTAATAGACGAGAGTGTAACACAACAATTTTAAAGTAGAAAGAAACAATATATTTAGCAATTATATAATATAAAAATCAAGTATTCATACACAAACATCCATATGTAATAAAATGAAACAAAATTCATTACCTGCGAGAAAAAGCAGCATCCAAGTATGATTCATTTTTACGAAGTATTTGCAATTAAGGACACAACGTTTGCTTGATATGACGATAAGCTTGACTTTGGTGCGAACTAAGTACATTAGAAAGAGAATAGAACATTTTAGTAAGTGTATTTATGTATCCTAAAATTACCAAAAAATATTTTAATTACAGATTTTGTAGAAAATTCTAAGACGAAAGTTCTAATACAAAAATGATAAAGCTCTGATAAATTTTGAATTAAAAGTGAGTATATATTATCAATTATATGTATCGACATATAGTAAATTGAGATATAACAAATACTAAATTGTTAAATGTGATGTAACGCACGAGATGTTTTTGTTATGATATTGAGAGTAATATACAACTGTAATGAGATTTTCTTTGAGTAATATGATTCAAAATCTGTTATAGCTTTGCCATTTTTTATTAGAACTTTTGTCTTAAAATATTTCAAAAAGTCTATCATTAAAATATTTCTCGATAATTTTAGAGAGAACCCTATCTAATATCATAATATTAACAAAAAAGAGTTTAAAAACACAAAATCACATTTTAACTTAATAAAATAAAGACACATGCTGTTCAAAAATCAGATAATATAATTTCTCTTTCTTTTTCTCAATCTGTGAAACCGTTTTGATGTCAAATTCGAAATGTATTATAAACTAGAAAAACTAGAAAAAAATAAAGTAAAAATCTTGAGTAAATATAAATTTTGTACATTTTTGTTTCAACTTAGCTTAAAACAAATCTCAATAAGTATGATAAATACAATACTGAAATGTGCAAGTACTTACTTACCCTCTATGGATGAGTGCCAGGAAGTGAATGATAATCTTCAAGGGTGCCGCTACTTCTAGATATCATCCCCACCAGTCACTCTTTTTCATTCCACCCTCGACGCATGCAATATAGAATCACCTTCAATATAGCAATGTGTACTACATGCGAGACATTTGAAGTTAAGTTGCGAATGTTAAAATTATCGAGTAAGCCATTTTGAAATAACGATTTTTGAAACACAATGAACAATTATAATACAAATAACTATTTACAATGTAAAGCAGGATAAGAAATTTTTTTATTTTATATAGAAATTGATATATCCAATCTCTACAATAAAAAAATAATATGAAAATAATATATAAATTAAAAATAATATACATTAAAATAATGTCAATTATATATACTGTATTAATTTGTAAAACTCGCGCGCGCGCGCGCGTGTGTGATAGAACTATTTTTCTAGTTGTAAGCGAGTATTAGTCTAATAAATCCGATAACGTAAAGGATATCAACAAGGAATATTGCTCTTCTGTGTGAAGCATTTGTGCGATAAGGTAGTAATTGCGCTGAAACATATGGAAGAGATATACGTTTAAGAAATGTTTCAGTATACGGAAGCGCGCAAGAGAGAAAAGTGTATCTAAGTGGAAAAAATATGTTTAAAATTCCGAGTTTAAGCGCATTTACACTTTTTGTAAGTTAAATGTAATAAATAGTAAGTAATAACAATTATAAGTAATTTATAATATCAATTGCCATATTGGAACGATTCGAACTAGGATAATAGACGATTCGTTCTCGGCGCTTGTACTCCGTCTCGGGGATTGACATCTCGCATTCAACGACCACAGGATCTAACGTGTCTTTAACAATGACGTTCAGCGATACTCGTAGATCTTCGTACCGATCTGTTGATGATTCACAAATATTATCGCAAACGTTGTTTTCGACTCCTTCGACATAGAGCTTCAAAGACGGTCGTGGTTGTACACCGATGACTATGCATATTAAATTCACGTGAGTCTCGTTAAAGGGATAAGTGCGCACTGTCATGTCGCTTTCTGGCACTAAAAAAAATAAAACAATGCTTGTACTGATTGTTTAGAATAAAATGAACAATTGAATTAATTAAAGTAAAATCTGTTAAGAGTTATTGCGAGTTTTATTAATGTAAATATTCTGGATTACATATATAATTAAAATAAATCTTAAACTGAATTTTCTTATCAATTTTCTTGCCATAAACTATCATCTTCGTCGAGTTGCTCGTTTCGTCTTGGAATGTGCTGACTGCGCACGTATACTTTCCTGTCATGTCGACAGTAACGGTTTTTAGTCGAATCACAGATCGGGAATATGGATCTTTCAAGTTTTCACTCGGATACTCTGCGATATCTCGAATGATTCCAACGTCTTGCGGTGGCACTATAGTGGCATGTACAGATATATATTTTTATTATAATAATTACATTTTCTAAAGAAGAATTAAGCCAGCAGCACACAATGCTTTTTTGCTTACTGGATTGCTTACGAACACCAAAATTAACAAATCGTGATTTGAAAACCAAAGAATTGTTAAATCACCGTGATGCATGCAATCCAATACGACGAAGAGCATCGTGTGCTGCTGGCTTTACACTAAAAAATCTTGTTCCAATTATCCTATAGATTATACATGCTCAGCAATTATATAAGTGAATAATGTGTGAACTATGTTGTAGTAAGTAGGGGAAGAGTGGCATGAAAGAGCCAGTTTTAGTGTAGAACCAAAAAACCTACTTAAAAAACAATCAAACATAACGCTTATTGTTCAAATTTGTAGTTTATTTATTCCTTTATATTATGTAATAGACAAAAAGGCAAAATCCAACAAGCTTAATAAACACATTTTCACTTAAAAGAAAAGTAAAATTCGCCTTTTTCATAACATAACAGTATTGAAAGAGCCAAAGAATGTTATGAAAGAGCCGACTTATAACAAGAACTTTAACTGTTTATAAAACTTGTTTGTTTATAAAACAATAAACAAACTATTAATAATCATTAAAACTTTCAAAAACACTTAAAAATTACAAATTGAGAAGAAAAAAAATTAATCTTTCCAAGTATCTTTAGAAGCAATTTTTGCACAAAAATATTTTAGCGTTCTTTTTATCCTACATTTTTTGTGCCCAATCAAAACAAAATTTACACTAAAACCATATTTGCTTACTCTTTTTATAGCGTTTAGTGCACACTATACAATTATTTTTTTTTCTATTTTTATTTTTTTATTTTTGATAATATTTTGTAAGAATCTGAAGACAAATCATCGTTACATTCACTCAGAGCTAGATGTTTCATTAAAAAAACTTTTTGATTGTTTGATAGCCGGCTCTTTCATCACACTATAGTCTGGCTCTTTCAAAACTTTTCCTCTTAAAAATTATAATCTCAAAATACACTATCAACTTAACGTTACGAATGAGAAATATTTACAATTACATAATTACAAGGTTGGGTAAGTTAAATTTTTTTTTTATTTAAGTTAAGTTACAGTTAAAGGTCTTAAAAATTTTATTTAGTTAAGATATAAGTTAATCCATAATGAAATTAATTGATTAAAAGTTAAGTTAATAAAAAAAAAAAA